ACCATAGATAGATCGGATAGAGTTAAGTTTTCCAAGGGACCCAGCCAGGAGGATATGGGCATGGAAGATGGCAGAAAGCAACAATGCAGCGAACAGCAAGCAAACTATGAAAACAGTGAGTTTGATCTCAGCGCGCGACCATCGAAAACATCGAATTTTTGATAGAATGGGAGAGAATGGGACAGTTTCGATGTGTTGGTTGACTAACCGCTTCTAAAAGAAATGACGACGAGGCTTCGGGGAAACAATAAGTAACTCTTTGTTTCTTCGGACTGAGCCTCGCGTTCTGTCGTTTTGTGCATGGTTATTCAGCCATAACATCAAAAGTGGGCGATTTCGCTAATGCCACGTGACATTTCGTTGTCATGAAACAGTTTCGATGCGGACATTTTGAATAATATTGTTGTGTATTTGTTTCATAGGATGTCAGCCAGAGTTTGGCTTTCAACCGAAAGATGTTGGCAAAGACCGTCCTTTGGAATTCCATATTCAAATGCGTGAGTTCTTTCTTAGTCTTTATATCTCGGTCGAGAATAGAACACACTCGATATTTTGTTTGACGAACAAAAGAATTGAAGACAAGGTTAGGTGAGGCAATAGATAAATGTGTTGTTTCCCCTGAGCCTCGTCTTTAAAGATATTCAACCCAAATATGGAGTGTTGTGATAATTGTCTCGTTCCATACAGCTACATATATAGATAACGTTATTTGACGCTTAAGAGAATTTCCATTTTGGATTAAACAGTAGACGTATTTTGGATGCTCGATGCATTATTTTTTTGCACTGCAATCCTAAAAATAGGGATGCATCCTCTGTATAAGAAGTATTCTTCGTTTTCACTATACGTCACAGCGGCCATCTTTGAGGATTTCTAATTAGTATCTATTGTTCATTCCTCCAACATGGCCGCTGGTCTTTTATCTTTTGAATCTCATGGGAATGGTTGAAAACAATCAATGTCATAAGAACGACATCGCATGGAAGTTTTGTTGTTGCATTTTCTTGAATCATGTAGTAAATTATCTATTGATATTATTTCTGTCTTTAGAATTCTCATATAACGTCTGTCGATTCTACTGCAATGCTTACTATGCAGAACAGTTTAGAAACCTTCGCAAAGATACCTTTGAAGACGGCGAAGAAAAGTAAGTATAAACAAGACTACCTGTACACGAGGCCGGTCGAATTTGGAAACACCTCGATTTAAGGTAAAGAGGGCCGTTGCGGAGGTCCTGTGTGAACTCGCGCTCAAGCCAACCAAACTCGTGAACGGTTCTGAACGGGAAAGGCAATAGTGTAAACATATAGTCGAAGTTCCCTCAAGGTCGACTCGCACATTGCGATTGTCACACGCGACTTGACGTATGTTACAAACTGACTACAAGCTCTGCCATGAAAGACGTTCCTACCCTTGCGTATCACTTCCGTATCACCTGTACGATTCCACAAGAACGTTAATGTATTAACTTTCCACCTCTATGTTTACATTTTTAACTTTTTAAGGTACATTCGCTCTTTGGCCCATTGTGTAGTATGGCGTGCTCGTGGTGGGAAATCAGGCTCCACGTTCTCGAAATCTTTCGGTATGAAATGAGCTTTGTTTTTGATATGTTATTTAATGGGGTCTTAGAGAAAAGTCTTAAATATATACACATGTGAGTGCACTGCTATGTTTTGTTGTAGATGACCGTTTTGTCTTAAAACAAATGTCTCGTCTTGAGCTGCAGTCGTTCGTGGAGTTTGCGCCTCACTATTTTCAGTACATGAACAAGGCAATCACAGAAAAGGTAAATACTAAATCTGAAAAAGAGATGATTTCTTAACTAAATGATATTAGTTGACAATTATCAAAACGATATCAATCATAAATGAGTTTTAAATGAATTAATTAATTATAATCATAAGGCTTATATAATCTTAATTTATCATCATAACTTAAGTAATAATTAATTAATTTATAAATGAGTTTTAATGTAAATATAAATAATGAATAATGAGGCTTGAACTGAGCGAAATATATCTGACTGACTACTACTTAAAAGAGTGTCAAAGATCACAACGATCACCATGGTAATAATAGATTAATTAATTAGTAATTAAATATAAATAATTGATTAAATGATAATAATGATTAAGTAGTTTATAACTGAGTTTTAATGTAAATATAAATAATTAATTAAGTAATAATAATGATTAAGTAGTTTATAAGTGAGTTTTAACGTATTTATATTCCAGAGATCAACGTTGTTGGCCAAGATCTTTGGAGTGTACCGTATTGGTTTTAAGAACACACAAACCAACACGACTATGAGACAGGATGTTCTGGTTATGGAAAATCTCTTTTATGATCGTAAGATTGACAAGGTAGGAATCGAATTCGACTGTTCATAGTTGTTGTTTATGGCAGTGGAGGCTACAACAAATTACAAAAGGGGGTCATGAAGTACTGTATGCATCGAATGCTGGAGGCGGGATGAACTAGGGGCGTTAGAGGGCATTTTGAGAGAGCCTTGATTAACGAAATCTTTATTACTTTGACAGACCTTCGATCTGAAAGGATCCATGCGCAGTAGATACGTACAGGTCTCGAGTGGTGAGAATGATGTCCTCATGGACGAAAACTTGTTAGAACGTAAGTTCACCAAATCTCAACTTAGAGTTATCTGCAGTGTACTCTGCGAACAGAGTATATGCAGTGAAATAACACATGTGACATTCAGTTTATGCAACAAGGCGTAAGCCGGATATATTGTACTCTCTTAGGAGCGAATTCAATCAAAATATGCTGAAATTTCTGTTCAAATGACTTCCTTCTCAAATCCTTACCAAAAGGCGCACACATTGCGCTGGATATTTTTTTGTTGTTGTTATTTTTTGTTTTGTTTTTTGTTTGTTTTTTTTTTGTTTTGTTTTGTTTTTGTTTTGTTTGGTTTTTTTGTTTTGATATTCTCGTTTAGGTAGTGTGACATAATTCATATATTGTGACACTGATTATTAATGAAATCTTGTTTCAGTTATTCGAGAAAGTCCCATTTTTATACGACCTCATTCAAAGGCAGTCCTCTCCAAAGCTATCCATAACGATACGGAGTTTTTGGCACAACATATGGTCATGGACTATTCGCTGTTAGTTGGCATTGATGAGATTCGTTCCGAGCTGGTCATCGGAATCATTGGTACGATACCCATTGTGAGATGGAAGAGATGAAGGAATATTGAAAGAAGTATTGAAAGAAAGTAACACAATTTAAATGAAAAATGTCTGTTTTGTTTGCTGTTTTTGTTTGACTTTTCATTCTTCCTTCTCCTTCTCCACTTGCATCGTGATAAAATGGCTTTTCTTTCCCTGTTAAGAAAATTTGTGACGGTTTTACGTCTCAAACCCCTTGTTAACGTACCCACGTATGCAATACACTTATTAACTTATTACCAAGAAACTCTTTTTTCTTCCAGATTTCATTCGCACCTTCACATGGGACAAGAAACTGGAGATGTATGTCAAGTCGAGCGGGATTCTTGGCGGACAGGGAAAAATGCCGACAGTTGTCTCACCTGAATTGTACAGAACAAGATTTACTGAAGCCATGCATCGMTATTTCTTGATGGTTCCTGATAAGTGGACTGGTTTAGGAAATGACATCGATTAAAAGTTCGARGAAGGCGAACGGGCTTGTATTCTGGTAACGTTTGTTTGAAAATCYTTTAGGAAGATAAGTCGTTGTCAACATTGCCTCCAACACTGCGAAAAATGGTTAATACGCTAAAGATTCGCAGCATTTTTTTAATTGTTTTTCGTTCTCCATTGAATGAAAAAAGAGAAAGAAATGATACGAAAAGATCAAAAGMCAWTTTYTTCATGGACKAGTTTAGCCTTCTCSCAGCATGACTGACARGWGTMAGTTTCGGYTATGCSTATTCGTTKSCAAGSTCTCCTTCYTCYATAAATAAAAGAGTATACTRAATGTTTTATGAACTTTACCAGGAAAAAAATGGGAATATACTGAAAAATCGCTGAAAAATATCCATTTGAATTTACGTTATAATATGATAATTAAATATATATATCAATATTCGTAACAAAGAAAATCACAAAATAGGAATTTCAATATATTTGTAAATTTAATAGAGACTTTTCTTTGATATATTCCATTCAATATGAACACATGAAATAAGTAAAATATTTTCATTAATTTTTATTATGCAGTGATGAGAACTACATGGCAAGCTCGTATTCACAGGTTTGGCGCTAACGCAATATYTGTCAAATATCAAAATTGTTAAATATGAATAAAAGATAATATTAAAAGATTTTTTGGAAGAAATTGTTGTGAAACAACTGAATTTATTATATCTTTATTTGACAATTATTGTTCCACCATTTCTCCTAAAAAGGATAGTGTATATNGACCATGCAAAAAATGTCATTAATTTATCGTGAACCCAGGCTAGCCGTATAATACTTTCAGGCATTTCCATCCCTTTTTAGTTGAACAATTATCTAATCAAAGTGACAAAGATAGCCATCGCAATGGTTTTCCAATTTCAATGGATTTCAATGTAAATTAGAAGTAAGTGGTCTTTTAGGACAGGGTCATACTACTTTTAACGGAGGCTTATAGCAGCGTTTCTTTGGATTTATTTTTTTGTTTCTTATTGTTTTAACAGAGAAATTTGAAGGAAAACTTGCAAACACGAAAACATCTCGCTGGCTGGTTTTCTCGCAGAACGATATTCTTGGTCATCCAAAAACCAAACTGTTCATAACAGATGGAGCCAGTGGGCTCGCCGAGGCGGTGTACCACGGTGTTCCAATGATCTGCTCACCTTTCTTTGGAGATCACAATGTGAAGTACACTGGTCTTGGTGAGATTCTAAATGTCCAGACGACAACTGTTGACAAACTTGTTGAGATGATAAATAAAGTACTGACCAAGAAAAGGTATGTTTTGCTCCAGCCTACAATTGTAGGCCTTGAAAAAATGACGCTAACCTTCGTGAAACTGAATCACATTTTACGCCAAGACGTCTTGCATGAACACAGAATGGGCCATATTCTGTCTGAATGATCATGCACAAAATGACTGAAGACGAGACTCCTAGGAAACAAAAGACTCTTGATTTATCTCCTGAGGTTCGTCCCCAATTCTCTTGTGCTTGGCTATTCAACCAACATTTCCAAAATGGGCTATTTATCACTATACCTAGCCTGTGGCTGCCCGCTTTCTTGGTTGATTTTTAATCCATATTCTACCTTCAGGTATAAAGAAAAGGCTGATTATTTCTCTAGAGTAGTGAAAATGCGACAAAGGACTCCACTGGAAGAAGCAGCAGAGCTCATAGAATACCTCCATGCAGTTGGTAACCTGGCTCATCTCAAACCAAAGGGCCTGGAACTACCTTTCCATCAGCTATACATGCTAGATGTATTGTTGGTTCTTGGAGTAGTATTTGCAGTGGTCTTGTTTATTGTTGTAGCTTTGGTAAAACGAGTCATTGACCTTTGCTGTGGTGCTCTCGTCTTTTAAAATAACCAGATTATTCCTTGTAAATTATGAAAAGAAAAAAAATAATCACCATACAATTACGGTAAAAGATTGTGTGATATGTGATGAACCCGAGGACCTCAAAAATTGGTAGTGATAAGGGTAGCTAGCCACCCCCTGTTTGGGTTCAAAAATACAGAAATGAAATATGAAATAAAAGTGAATGGTACACATTCTGAATAACATCTAGAGCAGCGTTTTGTGAAAGAAATCTCATTTTCACACCCCTAAATTCTATCTATTTAATAATTTTTCTTGAGTTATTTACCCCCAACCCTACCCCACTCATTGACTTACAAACAAAATTTATATACACTATTTGTTTTCAGAATATTTTACATGTAGGATATATCATAGATTCTATTAATCAATGAAAAAATAAATTGATTAACAGTTCATCGTGAGTTGACATCCAGTAATTTGAATAATTTTTGTATGTATATCTGTCATTTTTGACCTCGGGGTTGCTGTGACGTTCAAGCAGAGGCATTTTAATTCTGGGCCGCACAAGCAATTTTAACGGTAGTTCGACTGAGATTCTTGTCGTGCCAGCAATTAGCTCATGCAAAGGTCTCGGACGGTTCCCAGCCACAAAGAAGAAAGTATTGTGGGTGACTGAGATGTAACGCAATTTTGTGTGATTTCTCGACGGTTCTTTTCAACCATGTTCTAGTAAAGGTTAACAGTGGTATTCTAGCGAGTGAATTACACTTCCTGTTCCAAAGTCGACGCATCACAAAAACATCCACGAATTTGCGGACGGTTTTCCGATGCCGTTGCTTCTTCCTCTGAGAAAAATGAACGACCATGTTTTTTTGTCTTACAGGTAACTATTTTCGTTGGTGATCATGATCTTCATGCTTCAGAATCTGACCCTTTTGTCGTTGTCTTTAAAACAAGGATGACAAAACGTAACAACTTCAATGCTCGCTAAAATTTAGGAAAGGTCTATCATATCCAGCTCTACTTCACCTTTGGATTTCACAGCAGACAAAACACTGTGACAGTTTTCTTATTGATGAAAAAGTCTTGAACGAACCGCTCAAATTCTTATTGGCGATGCTACTTCCATGTGTTCGTCGCTAGTTGCTGCAAAGTTTGGCATCCCACATATTAGTGTAATCCCAACCTCTTTGAGGTCATTTAAATCAAAACTCATATTAATTTTGGTGTCCTCTTAAATTTCGAGGTCCGTTCCGGAAATCCTGTAGTCCATGTTCCTATTTATTTTTCAAGCCGTAACCCATTTGACATTTTGTGTACGATGATAGTCAGGTGAACGAGGTCCATTTTGCTTTTTGTTTTCTGGAGCGTTCGTTTATTCGTTCGTAATGACCGTAGTTTAGAGTCCAAAATCTCGATTGAGGTGTTCCCAATGAGGATTAATATTTTTCTTCCTTTGTGCTTCCTTTGGCTCGTGATTGGTGGTTTTGCTGTAAAGGTAGTTATACTACCGTTATGGGGGCCAAGTCACTACCTCGTTCTGTCTAAACTTGGAGAGGAACTCAATAGAAGAGGCCATGAGGTAAATGCACTCAATTTTCATTTACTAACTCTTGTATATTCTCATAAGTTGCTGCCATGTCCTTTGTGTTGACACTTGGCTTGAAAATATCGATCGTTCGATGTTATTGAGCTTTTACTGGATCATTTCGAAAGTTAATGAATAATCCTGTTCTGAAGTCATTATAGTTATAAACCTATGCATATTACCAAGGAATAAGACAGTCTTCTTGTTGGTTTTTGATCGTGGTCTTATCGAACACAGRGAGACGGCCATTTTGAACAACGGAAACAATATAATTATTTGACTTCAAATTTCCTAAAGGAATTGCTTCGTAAAGGAATTGCCTTCTTATGTTTTGAAGAAGAAAACAATGCTTCCTGACAAATTGGTGGTAAAATAGCCCATAACGTGAGCGATCCAACACCTTTTTGAATGCAACATATGAATGGTTCAGTTATAATTTCACGTGGATGTGGACTGGACATGGAGTCTGGACTTTGGACTGTTCCTCATGTATCCATTCCGTCTTTCAATGAGAGTTTTTGGATTAAGAAAAGTATATGAGTCTACACAAAAAGGGCAATATATCTAGTTACTCCTCATGTCCTATTTTTCCATTACTGATAGAATCAATGAATTAGACTTGATGTGTCATTCAGTCATGAATCACCGGAATACGTTATTTGGTAAAACTTTAATTTTTCGATTTCAGGTATCGATTTTTGTGTACCAAGGCGCTCATTATTCCTCCGAGGAAAAACCTCTCGTCAAAGTCTTTCAAACAACAAACACAAGTGCAATAATCGACCATGCTACAGGAGTATCATTTACCAAAGGGAAATCAATTCCAGAATTAATTCACGAATTATTTTGGCTACAGAAAGTCTACTGCGACAGCTTTCTAAGTGACGAGAAAGTCKTAAATGAACTCAAAGSCACAGATGTCATTGTTGGTGATTCGGTCTTCATGTGCTCTGCACTGGTYGCTGCCAAATTTAACATTCCTCACGTTACCGTTGTCCAAAGCACTCTGCCAGGAACTCCAACACTGCAACTTTATGGTGTGTCAACGTACCCAAGCTAYRTCCCACAAATGTTTTCAGCGTTATCTCCARATATGGGTTTACTTGGTCGAGTTAAGAACTTTCTGTTGTACATAGGAAGGTTTGTYAKATCAGAGRTGTRTAGCCGTTTCTATAGTGAAGTGAAGACAAAACACAACATCAAACCCAAAGAAAGCATTTACAAGACACTGCGAACGGTGGATTTAGTTWTACTTGAKARGAATCTACTGCYAGACTATGCTATGCCCTTRCCACCTTGTAAGTAGTTAAGTAAGCACTTTGTGAACCTAATTTCATTGATATTACTATGAATTAATTTTACAGATGTAAAAGAGGTTGGC